ACTTTAAACCGCATAAACACATTTCATTACACCAAATACACAAAATAATGTTCTTTTTAGCAGCATCATATGACCCCTTTAAATGGGTCAACTCAAAGCTGCAGACTGGCTCTGACTTTCGGCAACTAGCCTCAACTTCTCCAGAATGTAAATAGGCGGAAAATCATGGCAAAAATCGTGTAGTGTATTCCAGGCTTAAGAGGTTTTGGGTTATTTTCACACGGTGTTTTGCAACCTTGAGCGTGGGAAAAGAGACGCTACTCGAAGTGCCTTTCCAAAACAAAAGAGAGCAACTATCCCTTATCGAAAGTCCTTTCCATGAGGACTTAAGCAACGCGATTACAATTTCCAATGATTTACAAACGGATTTTGCCATTTATGATCAAAAGATGGCGGGTCCTCACATTCAAGTTTGAAACTTAAGGGAATTTGTTTAAAATATTACGTTATTGTTTTTACGTTAACGTTCAAATTACAACATAAAGTGTCAATGACATATATCTTACTGTAAAATGGTCCAAATACCCATATGTATGAAAGTAATATGCAGCATTTCTCAGAGATTTCACTTCAAATGAACTTCTGCCCTTAGTGAGTAGGGCGTAGTTGTGCTTGCTTTAAAATGAGCGCCATTTGGTTGGGAAAATCTGCTTAATCATTGGGCATTGGGCTTTTTAATATTTTAAACAAATTCCCTTAAGTTTCAAACTTGAATGTGAGGACCCGCCATCTTTTGATCATAAATGGCACATGGACTGATGGCGCCGACGGTGATGGCTGCCTCCGTGGCGTGCTCCGCAGCTGAGTTAAAAATTAGATGGTTGATTATTAATTGTTAATGAAAATTTTGTTCAACAACTGAGGATTTTTGATGCAAAAGCCAAGGCCAAGACACATATAAAAAACATATTCAAACTCTGCCACTATGATGTCACAAAGACATTCTAGAACTAGAATATATCGAACTCTAGAGTCCTGAGATGACTTCTGTCAGAGTTTGCGGTGAGAAGACTGCATACATTTACTAAAGATCAACAGCTGGTAAAAATGGAGAACATCAGTCCCACAGCCTTTAACGTATTTGATGAAGCACGTTTACTGGGCGAACACACTGACCTGGTCATCAGGGCAAATGACAGAGAATTTCAAGTGCACAAGATCATCTTGTGTGGCTGCAGCCCTTATTTTAGGTAAGGAGAAGCATTTAAACTGCATTATATACAACATTTTCACCATACTGTCGAAACTGCCTGAGCTGTCCATATATAAATGAATAAAAATAAATGAATGTATTGCCAGAACACAGAACATTACTACAGTATGATAAAAATATTTCTTGAAATTTAATTCTTAATTTTAATGGTATTGTATGAATGTTTATGAGTTTACCCAGCATGTTGAATTTAATATATGAAACTAATCTGTTACAATCTGTGAAAATTACCATTAATTATAGCAGCATATGTTTTAAAGCATGTTTCTCTACATGCAAAAATTGGTCTGAAATTAAAATGTAAATACATTTTTTTATGTGTGCAACACAAATACTCATTAATAATGCCTGTATTTCTTTTTCAAATGTGTTTGCAGGGTTCTTCTTTCCACTAATTGGACCAGAACCGCAGAACATTTCTATGATATTCCAGGAATGTCCCGAAACATCATGTCTCTTATTATTCAGTACGCGTACACAGGATCTGTCCTCATTACAGAAGAGAATGTGCTGGAGCTCTTAGTGGCGGCTGATCAGTTCATAGTCTCAGGTCTTATAGATGCCTGCTGTCAGTTCCTGGAGTCACGCTTATGTCCGGAGAACTGCATTGGCATCTGTATGTTTACAGAGGATTTTCATTCCTGCACAAAGCTTCGCCATAAAGCAAAGCTCTACATCCTGCAGCACTTTGAGGAGGTTTCTGCAAGTATCTGAAGAGTTCCTGGAGCTCTCACTGGAACAGCTTGAGGAGATCATTGATAAGGATGAGCTGATTGTCAAACAGGAGGAGGTGGTTTTTGAGGCCGTCCTCCACTGGATTGATCATGCACCTGAAAGCAGGAGGAATCACATCGCCATGCTTCTGCCAAAGGTAAAACAGAGAAAGACAGTAACCTTTAACTAAATAAAAAATAAATTAATTAAATTTTTTTTTAAAAGTAAAAAAAATCAAATAAAATACTTAGTAAAAAAGACTTTTTATTTAGTATTTTTGTCTTGTTTTCCATTACAAATATCTAAAAAGTCAAGATACATTTACTTGAGAAGAAAATGACTTAAGATATTAAGTCCTGTTTACTGAATAATGTAAATTAATAACAAAATTAAGTGAGTTTATTCTTAAAACAAAAAAAACATAGTTTTTATGAATATTTTACATTAGTTTTTATATTTTCTGTTTTCATTTTAATTTTAGTTCAAGTTTTAGTAATTTTGTTGTGTTTTCGTCATTTTTTATTAGTTTTTTTATTTCTTTTTTTTTGTTTGTTTATTTCAGTTTTATTGTTACTTTAGTATAAACTTACGTAATTTTTTTTTTTTTTTTCATAAAACAAGACTTAACGTCTCAAGTCATTTGTCTTTATTTTGCTAAATGTATCTTGAGCTTAGAAAGTTTAGATATTTGTACCAGAAACACGACAAAAATAATGAGTAAAAAATATTTTGTAGTGTTGTAACCACTTTGGACACCATATAAAAAAGTGAAAAGTGATGAGGTGTTTCGAATTTGTGCTCTGCATTTAACCCATCCAAGTGCACACACACACAGCACTGAGTAGTGAACACACACACACACACACCGTGAACACACACCCGGAGCAGTGGGCAGCCATTTTTTGCTGCGGCGCCCGGGGAGCAGTTGGGGGTTCAGTGCCTTGCTCATGGGTCTCACCTCAGTCATGGTATTGAGGGTGAAAGAGAGCGCTGTACA